ATCAGACTATTTTGAACAGATCTATCAGATTCGAGCAATCAAAGTAGTAGAAATCATCAAAGCAAAAGAAGCTGAAGTATTTCTAAATTGAGTTTCAGGATATATTTTTAGTAAAAGGAAATAAACTAGTAGATAAATTAGTAAAGGAAGTAATTACAATATATTCTATTTCAAATAAAACAAGTTTTGGACTTTTAGGTATAATAATCAAAGAATATGATTCAGATTAATGACTTTTTATTCTCAATCAATACAAATTCAGATTAAATCAATCCTCTTTAATCTATTTAAAGCTATTTTTATAGAAGATAGGATCGAAAATCAAGCTATTAAGCGAAACCAAGCGAAATACTGCTAGTGCATATTTCAATTCAAATTAGATTATGGATATATCAAATCTTATTTATATCGATTCAAACTCTCTGATAACAAATGTATATATGGTAATATTGAGGCTTCACAACACTTCCTTATTAGTTGTTCTATATACAAAGCAAAGAGAAAAGAAATATTTAAGAATATATTACTATCTAAGATTATTATATAATTCCTATTCTATACAAAAATAAATATTGAATTAATCATTAAATTCATCAATATTATCAAAATCGCTATAAGAGCATGGCATCTAGCCAGGGCTTTTATATAAGATAAGATAAAGAAAGGAATAGTAGTAGAAAAGGAGAGAGGAGAAGAGAATAAAAAAGAAGTAATTAGAGAAATAAGAGAGGGCTTTGATTTCCTTACAATTTCTTAATTTTTATAATTTTCTTATTATATACAATGTGTATAATGAGCGGGCATTGTTCCCTACTATTTGTTTTTATTTCCCTAAATCGTATATATCCATTTTTATAGAATAAAAAGTTATTCACTAGAGTCTTTAGAGGCCTAGTCGTTCTATATAGTCTTAGACTGAAGATGGACATAAATGAAATCAATCAATCAATCAATCAATCTATCCCCGAGATTCCAAAGGTAATAATCCCTAGTGCACTTAAGATAGATAATATCCAGAAATTCAATAAAGATAGCAAAGGGAATATTATCGAGATCAATTTATCTGAGAATCCAATACTACCTTCAGGAACAATGAAGACAGAGATATCAGATACTATACCTACAACTCAACCCTCGACCGAAACCCCGATCACACCTATGGATATAAATACTCCTAAAAGATACTCTTTTCGAAAACACAAGCGAGATAACAATGGATCAGACGAGCATATCCAAAAACTGATCAGAGCAATGATAGCAATGCTCATAGCAGACCCAGATAGAAATACTATCGAACATGCTATGATCTCCATACCGCTTACACCAAGGATCGATACGAGTATTAAGACAAAACTATCCGAAAACCTGCAAGTAATCTTAGGAAACCCTACAGACGAGGACACAGCCTTCCCTGCAGAACAGATTCTAGGAATCCCCATTCCTATTATATATCATTAAGCAATCTCGGACCCCAAATATAGAGAAAAATGGAAGCAAGCTATTGAAGAAGAGATTAATTCATTAATTGCAAATAGCACCTGGGAAGAGTATATTCTACCGAAAGGAGGGAACCTTGTTTTAACAAAATGGGTATTCACAATAAAGACGAAGGATAATAAGATCGAGAGGTTCAAGGCACGATTAGTAGTAAGAGGTTTTAGTCAAATTCTTGGAAAAGACTATAACGAAACCTTTGCTTTTATAGTGCGACTCGATACGCTCTGTTTGTTCTTAGCGATTATTGTGAAAGAGAACTCGGAATGCTGGTATTTTGATATAAAGAATGCTTTTATAGAATCCCATCTCAAGGAAGAGATATACTTCGCACTATCTCAGGGACTTAAGGTATTAGATGGATGTGTTTTATGTGTATTAAGAAGCTTGTATGGCTTTAAACAAGCTGGACAAGATTGGAATCAATTTTTAAAGTCTCAATTGATCAATTGGGGCTTTACCTAAAGTCTTGCTGATCTGTGTCTCTATATATACACTGCTTGCCAACTCAATCTGCTAGTGTATGTTGATGACATAATTGCTTTTTCGACCTCAAAAGATCAACTCAATTGGTTTTCTACAATACTTTCATCGCGCTTCAATGCCAAGAACCTGGGGAGATTAGCAAGATTCTAGGCATTAGGGTTATAAGAGATCGAGCAAACAGATCTCTCACATTGGACCAAGAAGAATATCTGGAAGTTATGCTCACAAAATTCGGAATCTCACACGCTCAGCACTATGCTAAGAAGATACCTGCTATTGATTACTCATGCTTACGACCTGCTACAGAAGACGATGAACTGATTGATATTACTGAATACCAATAAGCTATAAGTAGTCTCATTCATCCAATGGTGTATACAAGACCAGATATCTCCTTTGTGTTAGGCCGATTATCATAGTATATGGCAAAGCCAGCGAAATGCTATGGAATAGGAATAAAGAACTTAATGCGATACCTGAGAGCTACGATCACTCAGAAACTCAAATACAGACCTGAGGGAGTATAATACCAAATCGCAAAGGAATACAATCTATCAGTAGATATTATAAAAGTCTTCATTAACACAGATTGGGCAAGTGATCAGTATAATCGAAAAAGTATTTCTGGGGGAGTTGCTATATTCTATAACAGATTAATATCGTGGGCTAATAAGAAGCAGAATTCAATAGCAATATTAAGTACTAAATCCGAATATATATTAATAGCAATATTCACCAAGCAAAGAAGATGGTTAGTTCAAGTGTTTAAAGATCTTGGAAAGGCTGAATATGTATCTGCACACAGAGATACTATTCAACTGTTAGGCAATAACCAAGAAGCAATTGCTTTAACCAAGAACCCGCATTTACATAAACAATCAAAGCATATCGATATATACTACCACTTCATTAGGGATCTTACTGAAAAAGAAAAGGTAATAACTAGTTACATCAATACATTGGATATGGTAGCAGATAGGATGACTAAATCCTTAGCGAGAGTAGCATTCGAAAGGTTCAAAAACATGCTGGGATTGAGATAGTAGAGGTGCGGAAGATCAGGGAGATCAAAGGTGGTAACTCCTATGGGGGAGTGTTAAAAGGAATAGAAGTTACCGGTGCTAAGCACGTGTAGTGATTAGTAATACAGCTACCTAAACGGGCTAGATTAGACGAACCATAGACAGGCATATTGATCCCCTCATATAATACTATGGGGAGATCAATATGCTTACACGCGTAACTATATAGTCAATATAGAGGCCTCTTCCACCCAATCTTCTAATAATTTATATAATTAGCTTCACGTTTTCTATTACTGACTTTGAGTTATAGATTCCTTTTATACTATTTATAATAACTATTAGTACTCTATATATCAATTCTCCTGCCAATCAGCTTAGATCCTGTTCCACAAATTGCATTGCGAATTGTACAAGGATTGTCTCGAAGCTAGTAAATACTAAAACCTTATCTACAATACACTTCCATTATATATCGATCTTCTTCTGAATAGCTATCTTCACAATTGTTTCAATAATATTCTAACCACTTTCAAACAAGTTTAAAAAAGGACCAGCACTTTTATTGCTAGTCCACATTTTCTTCGGAATAGTAATTAAAAAGCGATTATCGAGATTGATTAGGAAGCCTGCTACCCCTATAAATAACAACTGGCTCTCTGGCCCTCTCTGATTCTATTGCGACAGCATTCTCGAGCCAAGCAGCTCGGAGTGCTATAGCAATCGTGCTGGTATATTGTCACGGCGCCAACTACATGATCTGTAGTTGCCTTCGTGCCTCAGGCACAGCATACTAGCGCGCCCTACTTCCTATAAGTAGGGCTTCACTCTTCCATAGCTCTTCTACCCTTATGGTACAATATAAGTCTTTACCCGTACCTTGACATATATATTGTATAATATGATTTCGGGATATCCATAGATATGATTGTTATGAGCTTGTGTGACTTACTATATATTGTAATATTTTATAATACCATCTCTATAAAATTTATATTTTTCTATAGAAACTAAAATATTATATAATTATTAGTATTAAATTGTAATAATTTTAGGACTAAAATTTAAATTAGTATTTACATATAAAAATCTAATCTATTTTTATATATTTTTATTGAATAGTTATATAGATTTTAAATTAAAAAGTTCAGAATTTTTGACTTTTCATGCTTTTCCTATACAAATAAGCAAATTTTTTAAATCTTTTTGAATTTTCAACTTTAACTCTTTAAAGATATTATTATAATTTTTTTTAGAGAATTTAAATGATTCTCAATTTAGATTTAATATAATTGTCAATTTAATCATATATAGTGATCAATAAACCAGGGTACAGAAACCCGAATAATTGAATATTTCAGCCGGAAAAGCGTTGCATGTGTGGTAAGTAGGTTCCAGAACTCTTATATCACGTGTCTCCAAAGCACGTCAAGCCATCGCTTCATCACGTCAACCATGCGCGAGCCAAACAATCTACGATGTACGCGGCAGAACCCCACAATCGGGAAGTAGGCGGAAATGGAAATGCATCTGGATTGGATGGTGAGCTGGGCTGGGTGAGAGATATGTGAGGGAGGGGTGCACGAATCGAATCAGTGGTGTGGGTTTGGGTTTGGGGGTGTGTATGAATCTTTCTTGGGATGGATGGGATGGGATGGGATGAGGGGTTTTGGTGCGAGAGAAAACTTGAGAGAGGCGGGATGAGAGACGTGGGATGATCGTGGATCTGTATCGAGATTTTCATGTGTATATCATACAAGTGCATGCATGCATGTTTGTTGCATTTTAGAGGAGAGGAAAAATGGGGAGATGGTCGGGGGGCCTTTCTTTTTGGGGGGATAGTTGTATATAGATTTGAGTAGTGGACGGATATTGGGGATTTTTTGATTTGATTATTCTTCTGTTTGGTGGTTTGAGACGTGGTGGTCTATGTGAAATTGTATTTTTTGTTACTTTGGAGAAGATTTGGAAGAAAGCAAGCAAGAAGAATTGGACAACATGGGTGCTCAAGAGACATACGATGGGCCATTCAAAGCAACCGGTGATGAGGAAGTCGCAGCTATAAGTGTTGAAGATAATGTACAGCCCGATTGGACGGAGGAGGAAGAACGATTGGCCAAGAGAAAGTGAGTGATATGCTCCCCATACGAATAAAGCGCGCTGTGTTTTTGCACTTCTGAGGACTAACCATGGTTTCAGAATCGATTTTATTCTTCTACCGATTCTTGGACTTGCGTTTTTTGCTCTGCAGTTAGATAGAGGGAATATTGCAAATGCGTTGACGAGTACTATCTCGACGGATTTGGGTGTTACGACGAATCAGATTAATGCGGGATCGAGTATTTTATCCGCGGGAATCGTGGTGTTGGAAATCCCTAGTAATGTTTTATTGCAAAAGGTATATCGACTCTTCTCGGGGAGCTACTCACTCCAATTCTTCAGAAACATAGAACTAAGATATCATTAGATTGGACCACAGAAGTGGCTCGCAGGTCAAATCTTGGCTTGGGGATTCGTCGCTGCTTTTCAAAATTTCATCACGAATTACTCGGGATATATCGTTACTCGTCTCTTGCTGGGACTGTGTGAAGCGGGGTTTATTCCCGGGGCTCTCTATACGATGTCTCTCTGGTACAAGAAACCTGAATCGAGTTTGAGGATATCGATATTCTTTCTAGGGAATCTTTTGGCTTCGGCAACGACTTCTCTGATTGGGGCGGGCATTTTGTCAATGTCCGGGAGATATGGTATCGCGGGGTGGAGATGGTTATTTATCAGTAAGTTTTTGTCTGTTAAGTTTGATTCCCAGCCTGCGATGCGGTAGATTGACTTGCTGTTGCATAATAGTCGAAGGATTGATCACCATTGGAATCGGCTGTATTTTCATTCTCTTCCTCCCTCCTAGCATCTCAAATGGCTCTCCGCTTATCAGCGCTGGTAAATGGAGTTACTTTACTCCCCGCGAACAATACATTCTCGTGCGACGAATCCTCCTCGATGATCCTGCAAAAACCACTGGACAACTCCAGATCTCTGGAAAAGAAGTCCTGAGAACGATCAGGAAACCAAGGATATTGATTCACAACCTCATTACTTTAACATCTACAATTTCTGTCAGCGCGGTACAAGGTTATGGTCCTTCGATCATCAAAAGTCTAGGCTTCAAAACCGTACGAGCGAATGCTATGGCATCGGTTGGGAATTTTATCGCAGCGTTTGTGGTAGTGATTCTTGGATTCATTGCGTTAGTATCCCCTTTGCAACTATGCAGAATCTCAAACTAACCGTCTCAATTCCAGAGATAAAACAGGCCGTCGTGGCCCTGCAGTCGTTTTCGGCGCTACTTGGTGCGTGATCGCATACGCATGTCTACGCATTTCCATTGGAGAAAGTAAATGGCATCGCTATGCAGCAGTTGTGTTTTCCATGGCTACGAATTCAAATGTCCAGTTAGTTATTTCTGCATTCACTATCCGTTTCTCGAATTTACCTGAAAATAACTAACCCCTTCTAGCATCCTCAACGTCTCCTGGCTCTCCATCAACTGCAAATCCCCCCAAGAACGTAGTATAGCCATGGCGATGATCATCATGGCCGCCAATTCAGCGGCGATTGCAGGATCCCAAGTCTTCCGCACGGCGGATGCCCCGCTGTACACGCATGCCTTTACGGCGATGTATATACTTGCCGCGGCGACGTTTGTCATCGTGGTGGGGTTGATGTGTGGTATATTTTTGCGAATAGGAGGTTAGGGAAGAAACCGGAGGTGGTACAGGGAGGGTTGAATATGGAGGGGGAGAGTGGGGAGGAAGGAAGTTTGGAGGTGGTGAAGAGATGGTGGTGGACTTGGTGAGGTTGGGTGGATTGAATAGATGGAATGGAGGTGGGGGATTGGGATTATTATTCTTGAATTAATGTTTTGGTGGTGGTGAGGATGCTATTGGATTTAATGAATGAATGAATGAAGGACCCAAAGATACAGGTTACTGACTTGTTGTCTTGATATAAATCTCTCGGGAAATTCTGTTTCAAGACTCGTGATTCATAGTCCAAATAATCTCCTCTTCTACATAGATGAGGCAGATCAGAAGAAGAAGGGAAAGGGAAGAGTTTGATCCAAGAATAACAAGAGAGGAGGGAAGACGTAAGTTAGTGAAATGATATAGGGTGGAAGATTAATACTACACCAACAGCTAGTAACGTGTAAAATCCTAGAGTTGAAATATACATATTATATTTGATATACTGAAAAGTAACAGCGAAACGCTTTATTTTTGATGCTTCCACAGTGCCACTCGTATCTAGGTAATATCAAGTCTTCAAAGGATTATCTAATTTGTGCCCAGAAGCTTATGTTGTAGATACAGACAAGATCTCATATCAATTCTACCCCACCTCTGGATCAACATTTATCTACACAAGACAGTTCACAAACCATATAAAAAAACATACAGAAACAAATATTTCACATCTTCCTCACTCTCAACTTTACAAACAATGCCCTCCTCATTCCAAAACAAAACCATTCTCATCACCGGCGCCGGAAGCGGCATCGGTCGAGCCACCGCCATCAAATTAGCGTCTCTGGGCGCCTCTCTCTACCTATCCGACATAAATCCCGAGTCCATTTCCCAAACCCGCGAACTGTGTCCGCAACTCGAATCATGCTCCACACAGAAATTCCACATGCATTCTCTAGACGTCAGTGATTCCCAAGCATGCAATACATACATCCTCGATCTCGTGCGCGAACAGGTCACTATCAACCACGTGTTTAATTGCGCGGGGATTAATCCGACCGCGATACCGATTGAGGATGTCTCGGATGAATATTGGGATCGCCTGATGAATGTTAATCTGAAAGGGACGTTTAATATCACCCGAGCGGTTGCTCCGCACCTCACCGCGGGGTCTTCATTCGTTAATATATCGTCGGTCTGCGGGATGGTTCCCGTGTCGCAGTTTTCGGTCTACTGCGCGACGAAGTACGCGGTGGTGGGGTTCTCGAAATGTATGGCGTTGGAGTTGGGGGGTAGGGGCGTCAGAACGAATGTGGTGGCGCCAGGGTATATTGATACTCCGACCAATGTGTCGGTGCTAGGGGGACAAGAGGAGGTGAGGAAAATGGAGGGGGCGGTGGCGAGTGGGAGGTTTGGCTTGCCTGAGGAGGTGGCGGATGTGGTGGCTTTTTTGATGGGTGACGAGGCGAGGTATGTGAATGGGAGTGTGGTGGAGGTTAATGGGGGGATGGCTCATTGAGGGGGTGAATATGGGATCGAATTGTGAGAGGGGTGTTGGCTCCCGGTGAGCTTTGGGGTAGGTATGGTTGGGGAGTTTGTCAGATGATACTAAGCCAATGTCTCGGTTGAACACTTACTGAGGGGATTGGAAGAAAGGAACCAAAAGCTTCTGAGGATATAATGTGGGATGTTTAAGCAATCTAGATCTTTGGAAGGCTGTTCATGCGTAAGATTAGATAGGCTTCCAGACTGTGTATAGATTCCCGATGTAGTGTTGGATAAAAATCTAATGATTTGAGAGAGTACAGTATGGAATGTTACTATTTAGGAAATCGAAATGCAATCAATCAGCTCCTAGCATCAGATGAGACTACGTGATACCTATTATGCTCTCATATTTCAATAGATTTGGGTTTGAAAATATGTGAAATTTATGCTTAACAATATAAAATAGTTTAGTTATTTAGCAGGAGGATTGCTGGAAAGACCAGATGAGATTGTATTGGAGAACTAGATCTTGGAGAAGTTCGAATAAATAAAGGCTGATAGATTCGAACGAAAAGGCAGTTGCTAATAGAGTAGATTTGAACAATGGAAACATATAATCTGGTCTACGGGCGAGATATCGCTAGACGTGAAAGTTTTTATAGACCGAATGATATATTGGACTTGGAGCTATTCGGCTTAGATGAAAGGTTAATTTATATGCTCGACTTTCCCGTCTTACTCCACATCCCGTACCGTGTGGACCGTTTCTTTGAGATATGTATCCACCCATGCGCCATACCAACCAATTAACATTCCACTTTCGATCCACCTAGCAGAAATTTTCATTTCACGCACAGTGCAATAATATATTTTAAAACTGATCAGATTCAGCATCAAACAGAGCAAACATCAAAGTTCCTGACTTTGAGATATCAAGCTTCTGTGGTCCAATGGTTAGGATTCCACCCTTCCAAGGTGGAGGTTCGTGTTCGATTCACGGCAGTTGCACTTCGTTTTTGCTCTTTCTTTGCTTCTAAGTACTGATTTGTTTGGTTAATATAAAGTATTTTTGTTTTTGGTCTCGCTACTCATTAGGGGGGTTCAATTTTTGTTTGATACAAATTATCTACCTGATTATTTGGATGCTTTTCGTCCTCCTTTACTTAGTGCGTAGTATTTATACAAGTGGATAATCGTATTACCGTAGTGGAATGCATGATTTTTTAGAGCACGGGGTGCCCTACTTTACAACTTCTTCGATAAATTTAATGAGATATACAAGCTTTTTACTATTTTCATTTCTCCAAAGGTTCTCCGGTCTGCTGCTGGTCAGATATCCATATACGAGATAGTGGGATGGAAATCTAAATCGAGATCACTTCAAGAATGTTGCGATGACTAATCTCATTCTTGCAACCACCACCTCGCGCCATGAACACTATCAATTGTTCACGCCAGACGAAACGGTATCCTTGAGGACTTTTGATCCATTGCTATAATTTTCTTCCTCGGCATATTAGTCTGGGATGTAAATGTAACATGAAAATCCACATACTTTGAGAGCTTGCTAACATGTGCGAATAGCGAAATAATCAATTTCCTCGCACTTCCATCTGATCCCTTTATCAATGAATACGCAAACGAACAATGGTAATGGTCATAGCATTTGACATTGCTTTGCTATAGAAGCTGCGAAAACTTCTCAATCATGACATGAATTGATTTCTACAGAGATTGACAGGTACACTATTGATTGATGAGGAATATGGTAGAGATGCGGGAAAAGTTCTCCAACTCCATTTACGGTGTATGGATTTGGCAAGTTGCGATTTCGATATTCTGAAACTACTGGGAGACAGCTTTCTTGAATTTTCGGAATGAATGATTTTTCTTGGGTAGGGAAGTTATACTGCTCTGTTTTAATGTCTGAGGTTGGTTTGGATACTCAAGTGGGTTAGGTTAGTTGGTTTCTGTTGGTATCAACTTGGTTGATAAGTGTAAGTACTTTAGTCTATTATGGTTGTATTCGTTCTTGATCATTATTATCCATGGGAAGCTAGTATTTAATATAGTGAAGTGCTAGCGCCACGTAGCTAATACAGTGCCTTCTTTGATCACATGATCGATATCCCGACAGTTTCTTAAATTTTGAGATTAGCTTTCAAACCAACGATCTATATAAACCTGCTTCATATATCATAGAGCATAGAGCATGGAACCGCGACCGCCATTCATATCAATTTACCATATGTTTCCTACTGTTCAGTATTCACGAAAGCTCTCCATACTTCCCCCTCTTATCCATATATCTATAGCCAGCCCCAAGCTCAACTCCCTTACCATCAATGTTCGAAATAGTGTCAACCTCTGTCTCCACACCGACTTCTACTCGACCTTCTGTGATCCTCAATGTTTGTTTCTGTCGTCATATTTGTGGATCTGAATGTCGTAATCGGCCATGGTCATTTCTAGGCGCGCTGCAAAGGCGGTCGTGATAACCGCAGTAACTGTCCATTGACTATCTGTGTTTGTTCCCATAGTTCCAGCGGCTGTATCAATAATTTTTTATAGCACGAATTCTTCGACGATAGTTTCTCTGGTTTTTACGCAATCGGTTGGGTATATGGAAAGACACTACACCAGTGTTTTTAACGGAGAAATTAGTCAGAGAATCCTCGGAAATTAATAACGTCTCCATTACGAGACCCTGCCGTGTTTCTTTTGTAAGTAGCATTGCATTGTGTGGTTGTACATATAACAACGAAAGTAAACCCGTATTGAATTAATGGACGAAAATGCGAGAACCTGGAATGTTGTGAATCATCTCAACTGTGAAGATTGGATTGGTTAGGGATGATGGTGGCAGCTGTGCTCTTTTATATTCCTGGTCCTATACTCGGGTGCCGTATCGTATTCGGCATGATATAGACGTATTAGGAATCAGTTAGCTACCTGCACCAGCTGCTGTTGTTCTGTGTGAATCAAGGTATTCTTGGGAATCATTAGAACTTTTGTAGAATATAATGGCTGGGAGGTGGAAAGGTTCGACGCGCAATTTCCTTCTTGGAAAGTGAAAGGATTGGAGGTTCCTCTCCATCGAGAGTAAGTAATCTAACTCTAGTATCTTTCAGTAACTCGGGTGTAGATGTCAAAGACCGCCAATCCGAACGGAAATTTTTCTGCTAATCAACTTATCTCAATGGGCGAGACTATCTTAACGACTAGAAATTTCTCTGGAATTTTCGTGGCCTACAGTTGAAGACTTGCTGTGCTGTTGCTTATTTACCTTCATTACTATCAGTGAGATTTGGCTTTAGGTCAGCAGTGAAAATGCTCTCAGTAATTCGCTGAAACATGATTGTTTTATGGTTTTGGAAAGAGCGTTTGCTTTGCCAACATGCCTCCTTGTTCATGATTCTACCCCTTTTGAGTTCGTGGATCGGCCACAGAGTCTACACTGTCTCAGCAATACAAACAAAGTTCCTCAAATATCATCATACAAATTATCAGGCTGTCGCAGACTG